ACCTATTATAAGATGTCATAGTGGTTTTTTAAACTATTATGGAATGTTTTACAGTAGGTTTTAACTGTTATGGGACGTTACAGAGTAGTTTTAACTGTTATGGGATTCTATAGGTTGGTTTTAACTATTATATAACTTACAAATTGTTTAACTATTATGGGATGTTATAAAGTGTTTTCTAACTATTATGTTATAGTGGTTGTTTAACTATTATTAGCATATAGCCCATCAAAAATGACGTGGAAAGTACTACCCCTTCCACCCAATTGTATATCCTAACCTCACGTTTCATAGATAACTAAATTAAATACATTTTGCGAAATCAAGCTTGACCAACAAAGAGGCAGAAAATGGGATGTTCTACTGTAGAACGCTTTCACGCTTTGGTAATGATCAACAATATTTTTACGACAGCGGAAGTCACGTGACTCTGGTAACACGTCATGAGATGCTAGAAGGATCATGAAGGCCGGAGCGATTTCTAGGCGCCATCTATTTTAATATATAAGCCCGGCAAATAAAGCGGAGAGAAGAAGTGACGGCACACATAACTGCAGACAGACAGAGACAGAGACGGATAACTGAGTCAAGCGCTGTAGTGATCGTAAGTAAAGTGCGTGAATCGTTGTGAATTATAGCGTGTGTTTAAGTTAAAGTGACTGTGGAAATTAAGTGTATTGCAAAGTTATACTGAGAAAGAATAAACTACTTTTATTTAAGAAAGGACTTGTATCGCTAAAGTTTCATCGGAAAGAAATTATACGGGGAATTAACAAACTACCAGAGACGTAACAATATACATCGTCACTTAGCAATAAAACTACTATGGAATGTTATTGAGTGTTTTAACTATTACGAGATATTATACATTAGTTTTACCTGTTATAAGATGTTACAGAGTGTTTTAACTATTACGAGATATTATACATTAGTTTTTACCTGTTATAAGATGTTACAGAGTGTTCTAACTATTACGAGATATTATACATTAGTTTTTACCTGTTATAAGATGTTACAGAGTGTTCTAACTATTATGGGATGCTATACAGTAGTTTTAACTATTATAGGACTAGCCTACAGACCATAAAAAATGACGGGGCAAGTACTATCATCCCCACCCCATAGTATACCCTAATCTCACATTTGATAGCTAACTGAAATAAATAAATTTTGGGAAATCAAGCTTGACCAACAAGAGGCAGAAAAGTGCAGCCGAGGCAGTCAAATATCGGTAAATTCTTTTAATAAGGCAAGCTTGTGAAAAAACCACATAGGAAAGAAGTGGTTCCTCATATAACAACTTTTAATATATAGAAAAGCCAGAGCGTTTTGGTAACAATGTGTTCTAACAATGGCTTTTATGTCATGTTGCCTAGCAACAAAAGTATAACCTAAAATTGTTGTTAGTCAATGAGTTGAAAGTACAAAATCAAATGTATAAACTACAAAATTGAAAAAATATATAA